ATCATTAGGGTAACTAGCGTAAAAATTTCCGATAAAGAAATTGACATTAATTAAGCCAAGCCAACTTGTAGGTGAATCAAAGAAGCATGATAATTTATAATTTAATGAAGGTTCAATTCAAATTCCCTACTACTTAACTGGATGAATTGTGTGAAAAATTATTTTCTAGAGGTTTTTTCCTTTCTCCGGTCCTCAAGTTTAGAAACATTCACCCACTCCACACGTTCTGGTATCAATCTACTTATCAACAGTACCTACTGAGTGACTTACAGATTTTATTAACATAAGATCTATGTACTTAGAACTATAAATGTAATTGTACACAATGATTCGTTGCTTGCTAGGTCTTTAACTTTGTTCTTCTGAGGAAATTAACACACTATATGAGAACACATCAATGATACTGAATTATATTTTCTCAAATGAAACTGTCTCGCTGTCACAGGTTATGGGATTGTTGGCCAGAATTCCGGAAGGCCTCATTCGGCTGTCTTATCGAGGTTAAGGAAATCCTAGGAACCGTTTGTTTTATTTGATTTGTTTTCGCATCAAACTGTTCGATACGTGAATTAGATGTTGTACTACTTGTGTGAATATTTAAGGCGATAGTATCCGGTATATCTTAAATCTCACACAAAATCCGAACGGATAACGCCCTAATTCCAAATTCTGAGCTGATAATATAACGCCTTAAGAAAAATGTAACGCTAATAATCAAGCATTTTAATATTAATGAAATTACTCATATTTGGCCTGGTGGTTACAGTTCAGAGTACCAAGATTGGCGCAGAGAGGCGTGGGTTCGATCCCAGCTCTGTGCGACAGTTTCTGGTCAAAATCGGCAAGGAGGCCGGGCGGTTAAGCACAGCAGAATTGGAGCAGTGAGTTGCGAGTTCGAGACCGCAAAATGCTGTGAATGTTCTGCGATGTTAAGAATCGGCGACAGGCCTACGGCCTACTAAACGCTGAAACCGCTTTATTATATATTACATGACCTCAATAGCTTTATGAATCGCAAAGAAGTTGTATTGTCTTCTGTTAGTGTATACAACCTCAATCAAGCACCATGATACAAGTCAAACTTTCATGTAATTTTTAAATGCACTTCTTTACGAGAACCTTTAAACCTGGCTTAATGCTGCATTTAAACTTACAATAAAAGATTTTCTGCAATCTCACCAAACAATTGGGTTATGCACCATGATCAAAAGTCGATAGTAATATTGGATGCCGTCGCATAAAACTTTAATTACTATTTCATTTCATGGTGAAATTAAATTTCGGTTTATGATGTCTTACCAAGACACATATAATGCCCTTATGTATTAGGTTTCTCCCGTGCTTAATGGAATCGGGTTTGATTGTCTAAGTAATCGACTGACTAGCTGTGATATTTCAATATGAATTTGGTTCAACTCCTTTAGAAATCACCAATTCCATGAACAAATCTAGTGCGGATTCAACCAAAGTGTTTACTGAGTCCTGTACCAATCAGCCAATACTGTACCAATCAGCCAATGCTTTAAGATGCCTTCATCAATCGATTTCAATAGAAGCAAAAAGCTTGATGTATATATTTCTATAGCACTTAGATTCGAACAATGGATAACTAGATATCCGAATCTCGTTGTTTTAATACGCAATTGACGTCTGTAAATTATTTTTCATTCAGAAATTTGATAGCAGTCTGAAAAGTTTCCTTTTCGCTAAAATAGGTCATGAAGTAACTCTTCAATAATTAAATATAAAACATGATATTAAATTTGACCAAGCAGCGGACCATTCATCAGTCTGCGGTCGTTGAACTTTTAAAGGTGGCACAAGAGACTTCAGAAACTGAGTTCACACTGCAATGAAAAATACCCCAAAGCAGTCAATAGCTCATCAAAACATATCATTGCAAGGAGTTCCAAATTTATCAGGGTTCAATAAGCAATAATGGCAAACCATCAATTCAGCAATCACAAACAAATTTGTTAACACACATATCATTTTTATCACCTACTTGCCATTAATTTCTAAATTGCCCTCGAAATCTTTCTGTTCGAATAGATTCAATTTTTTTCGTTTACACATGCATACCTCTTCACTGAAATTTGATCATTGAGGACGCGCATCTCGACATGCGGGTGAATAATCTTTTCTGTCCTAACGCATAATCTTTGTCGAGTAGCATAAACTGGACCTGGCACGCCAGAGAGTCCCAGGAGTTGACTGAGATGAATATTACTGGAAACTTCTTGTCAGCAAAGCCTCGTGATGCCGCTGAAGATCAGTCAAGTGCCACCTTAGGAGCTACGCTGATGCACGATCTGGGCTGATGCACGTCAGTACAAATGGTGTCGCATTGGCTCCTGCATTTGAAGAAACGCTGATGGCTTCCAACATTATCTATATTTGAATATTTTATCTTTCGATTTGGACAGAAATCATCCAAAAGTGTTATAGTCATTTTATTTATCAAAAGAATTAGACTATTTTAAAATTTATGTATAGAACACAGCGAATTCTTTCAAAGTTATTCACCGCTTCTAATATTGGTTAGCAACTTTTCTAACTACTCTCAATATTGAAATCATGCATGACAATATTTCTTAACGTTGAATTAAACATAAAAGTTTTCCAGTAAAGAGAAAGGAGCGGTGGTTGTTTATGTAGGTACGATGTGGTGGTGGTGGCCCAGCCATATTGATCCGTGTTAGCCAGCAGTGGCACTCCGGCCCGCAGCTAGCCGAGGTTCCGCCAGTTGCGATCCGGACGCGACAGAGTTGCGGGCGAGTATCCTGGTCCGTCGCGCCATGTACTGGTCGATGTTCTGTATCAAACAATAGCGTTGAAACATGCGTACAATCTGTCTGCATGAGTGTGAGATGCTGTGAAATTAAATAATGCAGGTATTGCTTTAAAAAAATTTGTTTTGAAATTACGTAAACTGGATACCTCGGTGTTGCGACAGATGTGGACCTGGTGTGGCACTTGCTCTAAGTTATGACATGCATTTCATAGCGCCTTAGAGCCTGGCTGCTGATGTAGCTGGCGATTTCGTCACTCATAACCACTGGCTTGTTAGTGGCAAGAAGTTAATTATCATTTTGGCCTTGTTTTAATTTTAGCGTCAATTGATGTGTTTCGAATGATCTGTTCTCCATAAATTGCTGTGTTTGTGTTTGTAATGTATTTCATCAATTGGTGTGCTCTTAAAATACATTTTACATAAGTTAATTTAGCAGTCCAATGAACATGCCTTTTCGAATTATCGCTTCACATATCAATTTTCAGCGAAAGCTGGTGGATTATAATTTAGACAACAAATTGGTTAAATGTACGTCCTCTTCTTAAATATCATGATTTAAATTTGAGTGCTATATCTGGCTCAATTATTGCCCAAATTATATATTTGGTCAATTAAATGTTTTCTAATTCAATATCTGCATACAATAAAACATTTGTAATTTATGACATAAAAACGATATTTATAATTTACCTCGTAACATTCATCGAGTATTCGGCAACCAATTCTGTGCAAATTAACCCATTGTTTTGGTTAAAGTTGCACAAGAATGTTTCTTTGCACCGACAGGCTCAAATCGATGCTCTTAGATGGTCAATCGTAAAATGACCTTTTCTTATATGATACAACAAGAAGTGAACGATGAGTATAATGAAGCATTGTGACTGCAAATGCAAGTTGAAGCCATTTAATTACTTCTACGAATCAAAGTAATAACGATTTTTTATGAGAGGTTTCATTTTTATCTAAATTCCATATATTATTTTCTAAGTAAGCACTTGCAAAATTTTATCGTTGAATTTCCCCGATACATGCTCTAGTCTCTTGCATTTGGTTTATTTTCAAATTATTCATAATTTCCGCATTCCAAGTAAATCAAATACTTGTACTAAATACCGTAGACTAACTCAACTATAATTAGAAATGTGTCTATATAAAAATACCCAGTAATTTGCACATGATTGTGGGCATAATAAACACGTAAGAAACTGGTTCTTCCGAAATACCTCTGAATTAAATATCAGTTTCTTTATTAAGTCTAACATTTTCATGTCTATAAAACAAATGAAAGCCAAGCAGGGCTTTGATTTGTTTGATCCTTTCATCTTTAAAATTTGTACCAAACTTGAATAATCCCTCAAAGGAACATATTAAATTGCTTGTAACATATTCCGATACAATCTTATGTTAATATAAAGAAAAAAAGAAATATCGTTCAGTGAATAACGTCGTCAGATAGACTTATTGAATGGCCGAATCAAACTTTTTCAATTGAACGTTAAGTACACACAAACATGATTCCTTACATTAAAGGCATATGCACTGAAAAAAAACGGAGAATAGTGTCACAAGTATTACTACCATTTATGTGGCTCTGACATATTTAACCAGGTTGCCTAGAATGTGTGTAAAATGATAGTAGTGCTAGAAATTTTCTCATGTGAAATAATTAGAAAATTAGGTTTAAATGTAAACAGTTGCTAAACGTGCTCCTATCAATATTTTCATGATTTTTAGGCAAATTGAGTATGTATATATCAATGGGATTATTATTCATTTACAGAATGCGGACGGCGTTTGAAAAATGTTGTGTAGATTATTGGTGAGCTCAAAGATGAACAATAATGAGAGCGGAAACAGATACTTTCAAGTTAAAAATCTTCCGGCGACGAAACCTTTCGACAGAAGAAAAAATTGTTTAGAATAATTAGATTTGAGCTTTCATAACGCATGAGATTATGTTGTGTTCATGTTTAATAATTTCAGTAGCCCTTTAATTTAATTTAATGCTGTTCCAAAATGCCGATTAAAGCAGTTTCCTTGAGCCAAATAGATCGGCATGCACCCACGAAGAAAGTCCTCGACTATTTCTAAGGCACTATGCACTTATTGGAAAACTACACTTCCACCGGCAGCTAAAGGCTATTGGCGCGATCACGGATTTCATTGAATGTTTTAGTCCGGGGCTTGATTTTAATTTTGAGCTGAAAAGTCTCCAACTCACCGCAAATCCAAGTGAACTTCACATAGAAATGCATCGCCAGGGCAATTCTAGTGACTAGAAGAGTTTCAAAGGGAAAATTATTCTCCAGTCGCGAAGAGAAGGAAGAATCTTATTCAGTTCCAAGGGAAAATCAGCGAGAAAATTCAATACTTTACGCCACGTGACGGGAAGGGAGAAATTCTCATTTCCTGTGGGAGGCAGACCCGATTTAATCGCGATTGGCCGTTCTTCTCTCGTCAGCCAGACGCACCCGCGACACAGGTGTTTTTTCTCGCGTTTGATCATTTTTAGTCGCTCAGTGAAGATTCTTTTTTGGGTAAGAGAGGACGACGACTTAGAGAGGCTGTCACGATGCACCTTCATCTCGAGAGCTGCCCAAGCGCCAGAAGCGATTGCCCCATTCATGCTCTCTCTTGGATGGGCAAAGTCCCCGACGATATGCCTGAGGTGAGAACTTCTTCCGTTATGTGTTCTTGTATTTATTGGTAATTATGGTAAAAGACAAAAGTAAAAGGGTAAATCGTATTTTTTTTGACTGGTTGGGTTTAGCAGAGTACGATCCTTTGCATAATTGAATGGTTCTTTCCAACTAGATCGAGCAGCTTTGTTGTTGCTCTTGTGCACCAAATTGTGGATAAAGTTTTGGTCGGCAGGTTCGGACTTCCATTGGTTAACGAATTGTCAGGGGCCGCTGCAACGCTTGTACGGGCGCTTTCGGGAGATACTGCCGCGACAACCATGTGTTTTGTTGCAAACAGTGTTAAACGTTAATAATTGCCTCCTAAATATTCTTAGATTATATTGAATTTCTAGAAATTAAGTTATCCGAGTAGCTCCGAAAAATTATCTTAAGTTGTTTAGTCCACTTAAGAGGCAAGTAGCCAAATGACGATGACCAACGAGTAGGATGGTAATGAGGTTAATAAAGCAAGATTAACCCAAATTCTTAGTTTTTAAGAATTGGTATTGTCATGCAATTAGTCATATAATTTAGTTTGTTTGACCGGGTTTATCATAACAAAGTGAATAGCGGAAGAAGATGATTTGATTTAATAAAGGAAAATTACATTAGATTACACGAAGGCGTCACCATCGGCTGTTGTGTTACTGTCAACTCTCTGTTCAAATTTAAAGACCACACAAATAATCTATATCATTATTTTAGCAAAAGAATGCGGAAAATTGGTTATTTGGAAAAAGATGAATAACCTAATTTACAATTTCTTACATATTAACTCTTCCAAAATTAGGGGACCGCCTTATTTTCGGCCGAATAATCACTTCACTCGGCGCAAAGTTATTCTGGGTCAGCTTGACCACACGATTGAAATCAGTTTCTGGTCAATATCTTATTTATTTATTGAAGAAAAGTGGTTACCCCGATGGGTCGAGGAAAAGCTCAACATTCAATTAAAAAAATTCTATACGATCATACATGCATATACATACATACAGTACATACATACATACATACATACATACATACATACATGCATATACATATACACACACATACATTGGCCCATATATGAGATAAGGCATTCGATTCATAAGAACAGAGTAAAAGGCCCAAGATTAAGTAAGCATTGGCTCCTGTCCCTGCCACTGTTGCCAGGCCTGTGAGACTTTATAGTCGCCTGACAGTATGATAAGAGTAGACCGAACCGAGTCATACCGAGCTAGCAAGCTGCCCTTTGATCCCTGTCCACACAAATAATCTATATCATTATTTTAGCAAAAGAATGCGGAAAATTGGTTATTTGGAAAAAGATGAATAACCTAATTTACAATTTCTTACATATTAACTCTTCCAAAATTAGGGGACCGCCTTATTTTCGGCCGAATAATCACTTCACTCGGCGCAAAGTTATTCTGGGTCAGCTTGACCACACGATTGAAATCAGTTTCTGGTCAATATCTTATTTATTTATTGAAGAAAAGTGGTTACCCCGATGGGTCGAGGAAAAGCTCAACATTCAATTAAAAAAATTCTATACGATCATACATGCATATACATACATACAGTACATACATACATACATACATACATACATACATACATGCATATACATATACACACACATACATTGGCCCATATATGAGATAAGGCATTCGATTCATAAGAACAGAGTAAAAGGCCCAAGATTAAGTAAGCATTGGCTCCTGTCCCTGCCACTGTTGCCAGGCCTGTGAGACTTTATAGTCGCCTGACAGTATGATAAGAGTAAACCGAGCCGAGTCATACCGAGCTAGCAAGCTGCCCTTTGATCCCTGTGCCGAAACGGACATGGAGAAGCTAATTTACGTGCTCCCCGAATCCTAGGCGGCCCTAATGCAGGGTGACGCACGCCTCTAAATTTTATTATGGTATACCAGATTTTATTGCATGAATTTCCATGTATTGATTGATAGTATTCATCAACCTGTCAGGTGAATAATCAAAATATTGCAAAAATTCTAACAATATTCAGCCGATCAGTAAAACGTAAATAACTTTTAATTAGTATGTAATGAAATATTGCGCCTGTTGATATTTAAGAAGGAAAAATTCCAGTTCCTCTAATTACTAATATTTAATATGACACTTTCGTCTTACTATAAAGGTAATTTTGTCGTGATCGTGAAGCTTGTAAGTAAATTATGGCTTGCGAATCATTCAGCATTAAAGCTGTTTCAGTTATTTATATAGATTTTTTTTGTAGAAAGTCCCACTTGTATAGAGTATCAATTCATTCAGGTACACTTTGGATTACAATAACCATTTGCTTGGTATCATTGGAGATAATGACCTACCATTATGTTATGTTACTCCTACAAGAAAACAATATTTACGAAAGATAACATTACATAAAGTCGTAAAACTACACAACAAATGCTACCGGAGAAGCCCGTATAGAATCTTACATTGCTGCATGACAGCCTCCGTTCTCCTGCAACCAATGTCAATATCTCGCGTAAAGTTTCGAACGCAATTCGATAACAGTGAAAGAATTCGCATCATTTTATGTTCTCTTTGTTCAAAGATCGCCTGGCCTTAAATTCCTGAGAAAATTCAGCATTCAGATAAGTAAGCAAATGTGATTCAACTGTTCTCTTATTTGAACTTGGCACTGTCATCGGACTGGTGATTTTTCAACATGTGATATTTTCTGAAAATAAAATGAAAGTTTCCTACCTTAAATATCAGCCAAATTTACTTTATTGAAAGAGTAAGGATTGAAACTCATGAACTATTTTGAATGTATTACAGAAATGTCATATTTATGTATTTATTTCAAGTAATGAATCCAGTCTTGAATGTTCGTGTACCAAACTCATACCATATAACAATTATTTTAGTTCAGTAAAGTAATTTCGTAAGGGGACTAAATGTTTTATTAAATATTAGATAGGTTATTATTTCTCGTTCAGGTTTTTAAACACCACTGACGTGACATTCGGGCTTCATTCCTTCATTCCTCAGAGATGACAGAAAAATAAAATATGCTGATAAAATGAATATGTATTTTTAGTGGACAAGTCTTAGCGCTCCATTCATAGGACAACTTGACATTTATGTACTACGATCTGTAAAATCATTTGAAATTGTTCAATAATTACATGAACATAAATACTTTGTGGGGAAACCTTTCATGGTCAAATACCAATACATGAGGTGCGCTACAGACGAAACGATTTTTATTAATAGTATTCGATCAAAAAACGATGAATAATATTTTTTTACACCCCTCGCAATAACAAATTATGTTACGTACAAATTAAAGCGTCCTTGAGATGCAATGAGTATTCTTTCCTTTAAAAACTTCTACGACATTTGCGGTATCCTTGAAAAACTCTTTATTAATACACGCAAATATCATCCTGGCAAAGCGACCTTGTCGAATTGAGAAACATATTGCGTCTATGTTATGGATTCAGCGAAACTGTTTCTCGCTCAAAGAGAAATAATAACTGACAAACCTCAAGGCTGCAAGTCGCAAACATTAATGCTGTTACAGAGCAATTCCAGAGGCAAATTAGCTCATGCGGTGGCGGTCAGCACCGAAGGACTTATGCGTGCAGACGTGAGTGGTCGTTTGGTGTCCTCATATACTCGTTATTTATTGGCGATTTCTTGCGAGTTTAGTGCCAAATAGCCGATAAAACCAATGGGTCTGAACTTTGCATGAGCGTTTTCTTTGGCGCAATGGTTTTCAGCAGCCATGAACAGGATGCCAATGATCTGGCATTAATTTAACGTCCGAAGTGAATAAAGCATTCAAGGTCAAAGAATAACAAGTGAACCGAAACAAGAGGAAACAAATATTCAATTTGCTAAAGTACGCATTAAATAAACTAGTAAACTTAACAACGGTAGTTTGAACTTAATTGGAACCACAACCCCGCTCTCTAGAGCCCAGAATATAATTTATTTAGTGCAATACAGAGAGACCATTCGGTTTTTTTAAACGAATTTTCGATATGATGTTATCATGAGGAAATAACCCATGTGTCAGTGAATAGGATTGAGCATTACCTTCTAATTCAGTAGGAAGTGCTAGTTCATGCTGAATTATCATGATGTTTCCCGGCAAAAGATTTTTGTCACAAATTACTGTATATTGATCATTATATCGCTCCTCATTATTCGATTCTCATCAAACAAAGTGAAATGTTAATTTTAAATTGTGTTTAGGCTCAATCATACCTTACAATTTAATGGCTTAGGAAAGGAAAGAATGTTATTGGGCAATATAAAATAACTAAATTATTGCAGAACCATTGTCTATTTAAGACTAAACTTCGGTAAGTGCAACGGAAATACGTCTTGTTTTTACTTAATGATTGTAGTTTGCCAAATGATTGTAGCTTGCCGATAATTACTTATATTTAAGCAAATATCGGAACTGGAATAAAAAGAAAACTTCCTGAATATGATGTAATTTAATTAACATACGAATAAATTATTGATATTGACCAATTATCCAACAACGAGAGCCACAAGTCATTTGTTCATTTCGTGGGTATTTGCACTGTATCTACATTAGATATAAATCACTGTCAAAGGTTTTACATTGGATTTAGACGTGACAGCATCATGAATAAATACTTGTTATGAAACCAATTAAGAGTTGACCGTGCCGCCTGTTTTGGGTCGTAATCTTGCTGGATCTTCTGATCGAGATGGCATAAGCTCTTTCTGATGCATTTTTGGACTGTCGCGATAAAAATTGCATTAAATTTTACATTATTTTTTATAATACATGTATCGCTCTATTATGCGGAAAGTGTCCACCACGCGTGAAAATTAAAATTTTACCTCCTCAAAATTTAAATGCTGGGATTGTACTGCTTGCCACATGAACGGTTCCTTCTTTCCTAAAACCCGGACGACAGAAATGTCTCGCAATGATTGAATTCTGTTCATGCCAGAATTCCATTTACGACCGGAATGAATTCAGATCAGTGAAAAGCACCCCAGATTTCCCTAACCATCTTTGAGAAGTCGTCAGTCAAGATTAATAAGCCTCTCATTTCCCTGTTTTCACGGAAGAAGGATTTCCTTGAAGTCCTTGAATTGAGAGTAATGAGATAAAAGACTCTTCTTATCCTAATTTTCCTATTGCTTGGCAACGAACCATATGCAGTAAAAATTTGTTAATGTAAGTCCGAAAGATAGTTCATACATACTTAAAGTATTATATACAAAATATTTGAAAGACCAGAACGATCGAAGGTGAAAGCAGCGTCATGTTTAGCATTTTATTTACTAACATTTACAGCTCAACGGCAATTTGAGAAAATTTGTAATTTTGCTAACCATACAAACTTGAAAAGTTTAATCAAAGGTATTCAAAAATTTCTGTGATATATGATTACATTAAACTGTTTCGACTCCCCACCCAAGTATTTATACCTTATTTTATCAGAACACTTGGGTGACATAATGCCGTTAAATTTCGTATTGTTAAATACTTTTCTATTCTTTTTTCATATTCGGCACTATTTAAGCATTATTTTTTTCTGTTCCTTATTTATATTCAGCACTTCTCGTGCAATATTTTTCTATTCCTTAGTCATATATAATTCATTTTTCTATTCCTTATTCTATTCCTTATTCATGCAAATTGTGTTGAATTTTTGCTTCTAATGGAGATATAAGTGTTCGAAAACGCTCACCTAGATTTTCTGTTTTTCCTATGTTGATTATTTACTACTCCATTCGATAGTTCTGCCTATATCACTGTGAATGGTCAGTGATGTAATATTAGACTTATTGATTTTCATCATTATATGAAAAAACGATTTGAACAAATTTTAGGCCATATAAAACGATTGCAACTTTAAAAGACATATATGTGTGTATTAATCAATTTATTGCACAATCGACAATAATATTTATCATGGGTGATGTCAATGATAAAAAAGAATGTTTTCAAGAAGCAATGGAATTTAGAATGTGAGTTAATTAAGGGTTGCATAACGGAATATTGAAAAGTGAACGACATTAAGAANAGTCTGTGAGGGACTCGTTTCCAAATTTCATGGATTCAAGATTGGGAACTTACAACTTACATGAATTTAAAATAACTTTCCTCATCGTGAACAGTAATGACATCATTTAAGGTAGAACAGGCAAAATAGACAAATAAAGGGAATGTAAATTGATCTGATGAATCATACTTAAGAAAACCTATTTTTATCATAGTCACGATCAACTCTAAACAAAACATGGCAACGAAGCGCATTAAGTTATTAAATCGTAAGAAATCTAAATTCGATGAGCAGGCTGGTAGAATGTATTCACCATTTTCCACGATTTCCTGCTTATGAGTCTTTTAAACCTATTCATTTTAGCTGTTGTGGGAAATTTTGCTCATTTATTTAACCATTTTTTTACTCACTAATTCACTGTATCTTCAAGTGATATTGATAAGTTGAAGTTCTTGTATTGGATTCGCTACCAATGAGCCATTTCCTGTAAAAAAAACCTAGTGCTACAAAATATGAAGTAATTTAATCTTAAAAAACATTTTATTAATTAGGATTAAACTGTTCTCTCACATTTGGTACAGGAAGAAGGCTGGAAGCTGAACAGAGTTTTGTACTATCAAGAAGGCTGGCTCGCCACCGGCAACGCTCGCGGTATCGTGGGAGTAACTTATTCTTCATCGCACTGTAAACGTGGCGTCGATGTCCCCGCAAGAACCANAGATGTGTATAAGAGACAGGTCCATCATGACCAACTACAACCTCCATGGCCACAGAGCTGAGGTGAGAGATGTGTCCACTGTCAATCGTGACCTCCGCGGCCACAGAGCTGAGGTGAGAGATGTGTCCACTGTCCATCATGATCAACTACAACCTCTGCGGCCAAAGAGTAGAGGTGAGAGATGTGTCAATCACCACCATCACTTACCTAAGCTCTCTGTGGCCAGAGATCTGAGGTAAGGGAAGTAAACATCACGATCGTTGGAGATTTTTTGTAAACAATTTTCTATGATCAGCCTGTATACGTTTAACTGAGAAAGATAAATGATTGATTCAACTGCATACACACGTTTAAGAATTAGAAGGCTGAAGCTCGTCGAAACCAGCGTTAAACAACGAGACACGAAACAACTAATACTTGTTTTCCTTTCAGTTAATCCTTAATTTAACATTACAATTACACATCTTGATAAACCTAGTGAAGGCCTGAAACAAAAATTTTTGGGTATAAGTCGATGTGCGATGTTTAATTATGGAAGAGAATGTAACGAAGTGAAAGTCCACTAATGATGACTTAACTCGCACAACACAACTTTATTATTCAATGATGTTGAGTGAGGCTTTGTACCAAATCTCGTCATGGGAAAAATTCTCAGAATTTATCCACGTTCGGTTCCCAAATTCGGCTTAATGTAATTCGGGTTCTATTCTTGGTAATATTCTAACGTAAATCGTATTTTTTTCCTCTAAATTTGACAGTCGACTTTAAATTGTGATTGTAGTAACCGTACTTGGTCGAGCAAAGCTCGGTCATATGGACTGACGTTTTCTGGAGCGCTGCCGTGAAACCCAAGACACTGAAATGTTGCTAGTGTTTTCCTTGCCTGACAAAAGGTCAGCACCTTGAAGGCCCTTTGTTATTTTTAGTTCAGTGACCTACTTCAGGCTATCTTTATTGTAAGATTTGCCGCCGCCGAATGCTGCGAGGCTTTTGGCAGATATGGCTGACGTGAAAAATTGGCTATGTCGCTGATTTAAAAAAACGAGACCTTCGGTCTTTTCCCAGGGCGACCTTGAAGGCCATGCAGAGCTCGGAAGATTCCTAAAAAATAGGTGGTAAATTTGAATTGATAAATGTGGATGGTTGAAGCTCATGCCTAAAATTTTTTATTTATCTTACGCCAATTTATCTATATAGACTTTTCAAGATTGTTCATAAATAAAAGCATGCGAACTTTCTTGTATGTTATTGTTTCGAATTATTTCTCTAATGCACGTAAAATTTGAAATTTCTGATGACTCTCTAAAGAAGCTTCAGAATTCCTGTTTCGCTTCGTTTGGCTTGAATTAATGTCATTGCAGTTGTTAGCGCATGAAAAAAAAATGAAATTTTAAGCTATTATATTGTGAAAGTCAAGCCACAATTTTTCGGAATTTTGTGTTGCGCGTTTCAGCGACAATTACTAGTTCCCTCGCATTCATACCGTATCATCAAAACATGAAATATTTGTTTTGCTCATCGATCACGCCGCAATTTACGCATCGATCGCGCCCACATCTAATATTTTATATATTTCTATATAATTTTGAAGGAAATTATCAATATTCATCTAATTTCGTACATTTTATTCTTGATTATGCCCCAGGTGGACAATATATAGGGGATCTCGTGAATATGTTCACCCGAATACACCAACCTGCTTCCTCAGTTGTTGTCGCTGCACACGAACGCTGCCCCTGTTATTTATAGAAAAATTTTATTAAAAAAATAATTATCAAACTTTAAATATGACTGTAAATCTTAGATAAAGTGAATTGAAAAGTCATCAAGCGTTAAAATGGGCCTGTCTTAGTTCTTCAATAATTAATTTGTAATAAGGAGTTAATAGATAAACGTAAATATATCGCGGAACAGGAGAATAAATCGAGACTTACAACAATAGAGAAAATTTATTAATACACGAGTCAGCCCGCTCAGCAGAATCTCCAATTACAGAGATGAATGATGGCGCACTCGTAATTCTTTATATAGCTGGAAAACCTTCATTCAGATGTCCAAATTTCAGCATTTCATTATTTTCTGACTATGGTACCGCAAAATTTGCATTAATATTCGATTGACGCAAATTTTTAGATTTAACGAACTATTCGGAAGTCCAATTGAAACATTCCTGTTTTCTTTCAGATATATAGAACTGGAATCTCGGGTCCTTATGCTTATGAACGAACGTTGTGTGTTACCAAAAAATTAATTTTCCCAAATGCAAACCTTTTTAAGTATTAAGTCTTCGGTTATCCCACGGCTCTAGACAAAATTTCCTTTTCGTCGAATTGGTTCTTCAAGATTTTAAGGGGAAAATCAGTGTCGTAATACGCGCATTACTTCTCATCGATTATTTATTGTTGTTTCAGCGAGAAAATTTCCTAATCAAGTCGCAACTCATAAAAATAACGAGCCACAAAGCAAGATTAAAGATTCGTTGAGTTTTAAATATCTTCCCCTTTCCATTAATAATAAATCTCAGTTTATAAGATGGGTGTGGTCGGCATGGCCCCGCAAAGTGCATTGCGTCGAGGATAGACTATTACAAGGCAAACTATTTTGACCCGTACCGTCATACCTCAAATTGTGATGACGACTTTATATTATTCAACACAACGAAAAATTATCATCAAATAAAATTTCAACGATTGTTCCGAAAGGAAACTTTAAAAAAACATCATTGATCAGATTATCAAACTGATAAAAATTTCTTTCATCGAAATTCATCATAATACATCTCAGTGTACATGCTGCACAATCCAAGGGGTCCAATTACTAAGGCTTGTTTTGGGACTCGATGCAAAGGAGAACGTTAATGCAGATTGAAGGCGTGTCCGTATCAATGCAATCGTCTGGCTTTGAGTCCAATAATTAAGTAATGCACTTGCATAGGCACGACGTCCAGTGTAGCTATTTCAAATCTTGAGCCTCTCGAAACATAGATTTGAGCCTCTCGAAACATATCCACGAAAACAACAATACTAGAAGCACAGTTTGATTATGCAGAAAATTTTATTATAAATTATTATTGTGAAAATTCTACAGTGAAATTAGTTGTAGCTGCAATGCATGAGAGTTAAAGAAATGGACATGGTGTGATTGATAACATAGTATTTATATGGCACGTAATGCTAGGAATTACAAATAAAAATTTGTTGAGAATGGCATTAAAATCGGCAATTAAATTGGTACCGCCTTCAATGTGCGGCAGCTGATCGAAAGAGAATTAATTGGACGGAAACAATTTAGCTAGGTTTAGAAATTCGTTTAACTTTTTCGAACGGATCAGAACCGAAAGTTAATTAAACAATTCAGCTTTTTCAGGAAGATTCTCCCTAAAAATGAAATGACAAAAATATGCATTAGTAAGCCTTGTAAATGATTTGATCTGAAAGACTGAATGAAGTTCATCAACTTAATTTCAAGCGAAATTATTTTTCTGCGCGATAATGATTGTATTTTTTCCTTCGACCCGCCAGTACATGTTAATCATGACAACAAAATCCTCCTACTTGAATCAAATAAAGCCTGATTAAGTAATTAAAATTGCAAAACGCTTGCATATGATATAATCGTGTGCTTCCTTAGAGAGATTTTGGGACAAGACACCAGAAAAAATATAAACTCCGATATTCAGAGTTCACTTGAATTCGGAATACTGACAATATCAAATTTACCACATTAATCATGGTTCCACAAATGACTGCTACAGATTTGACAGTATTAATTAAAACGATTTGGATGTAAAAATTGAAGAAGAGAAAACGATGATAATAAACGAAACTAGGTCCATGAACAAGGCTTTCGCTGAATCATCGGATGAACTGCGTTTTATGACAGTTGAAAAAATCTATCCTTTGTTCTACCTGGATTGAATAAAAGTTAAAAATGATCGATCCTTTGTGCGAACTGGGTTGTATGAAAGTGTGAAAAATCAATCATCTGTGCAAACTGGGTTGTATGAAGGTTCCAAAAACGTCAACCCTTTAGGAAAACTGAGTTTTTAGTGCATTATCTCATTTATTGAAAGAAGGCGCTATTATGCTCGTCATGTCCGTCCGTCCGTCCGTCCGTCCGTCCGTCTGACCGTCCGTCTGTCCGTAACTTCACGTTTTCGTCGATTTTGAGAAAATGCGCTCTCTGTCACTCACTGCAGTGAGTACTGAGTTATATTTTTGAAGATGTGAAAGCATCAAGACTTTGGTCGAACTGGATTGTGAAAAAGTTCCAAAAACATCAGCCCGCTGCTCGTGCATGCTGTCGCAAAAGAGTCTGGCAAAGTTCTGAATATTACTGGACCGTAGGATTGAAACGCATATCGTAATGAATGCTGAAGGACGGGTCCAAGATTTTGTCGTAAATATTGTTTTTTGAAAAGCCGGTTATATGTACGGAAAAGATAGCAATAAATATCAATATTAATATGATTAAAAATGAGTGTTGGGTTTATAATAAAATTTTATGGAAAGCAATTAAGTACTATGGGTGCTCTGATTGATTTTGAGCGAAATTTCTCTTTAGATAATTAGCTGTTAGTTTAAATACCTATTTTGAAATTATTACGTAAATAATGAACTTGTTCAAATTTATATAGATTTATTGGATGTTCTGGATTCAATGAATTACTGTCACAAGTGAATTTGGCTTTGATAATCAATTGTATAAGAATAACACTGCAGGATCACAGAGTAGGCTTGAAAACCACCAAGAAATGAACGATGTCAAAAGAATCATTAATATCTGGAAAGTCGTTCGTGGGTTAACTGATCATCGCAAGCAAAAAATGCATGAAGAAATATTTTATATCAGAGAAACTGTCCTCCGATACATTATTTAGATGGAAAATTTGGTTTTTACTTCCATTTTTATTTATGAAAGAAGATCTATACGTGCGTTGTTCTCTTCGTATCACCCTGAGCATTCTGAAAACCATTAATCATAGCACATGAATGTATTTTCTAAATTCCTACTTCGAACAAAAACAAATACCATCGATATTGTGAACCAAATCAAGCACAAAAGACTTTCAGACATATATTTTCACACAGGGATGTATTTTCCGCTGCATACAAAAAACGACCCAGGAATGTATTTTCTAAATTCATACTTTGAACGAGAACAAACACCATCGATATTGTGAACCAAATCAAGCACAAAAGACTTTCATACATCTGCTTGGCTGGCTGTAATTCCCCTC